AGGGTGTACACCAGATAGGATAGGGGCAGGGAGGGATGGTAACAGATGAGAATGACCATAGAGTAAGGAATGGAGGTGACAGAGGTGGATCCAGGGCTGGCACCACTGTGCTTGAGACTGCTTGACACACAGGCTGTGTCACCACTCACACAGTCCCCTGAAATCTTGCAGGCCTGGGCCAAAGAGCTCACCCGTCCTTCTGGGCTGAGGGTCCCGTTGGCCGCACATTCCAACAGCCCCCGTTCTACTGGCCCCATTGGATCACTCAAGGGCACCAGCCTTTGTAGCTCCTCAGGGCTCAGGAAACAAGCAAGGGACCCAAGCCTGAGGAGGGCATGAAGCTGGCCTTCACACAGTCCCCGAGGCTAGTGTTAAGTCAGGAATTATGTGGATATGTGGGGTAGGTATTCTGATACCTAAACTACAAGATTGAAGCACTATAGGCATTTCTCCTGAAGTTCTGCACTGCCTAGGGCAGTGCTTACTTCTTATCCCTTCCTTCTTAGGAGACCAATCCACCATAGTAGCCATACCTGTGTCTCTTATCTTTCCTACTCTGGCTTTGATCATTGATCCCACAACCACTCACCTGCGGACCTGCTCCTCACCATCCTCGACACTCTGGTTTACCAGGTTTCGAAGCACATGCCGGGCATGCCCTGGACCAAGACCAGCCACTGGCCAGCTATCCTCCAGGGCCTGTATCTAGGATGGGGAGGGTCACCTTGTGTTGGAGTCTGTGGGACTTGTAGGGATGGGCCCTCTAAGAGTCATGCTGCTAGCAGACAAATGAAAAAGATGATTCTCATACCTGATGAGGGCTGAGCTGCAGGAAGTTCTCCAGAGGGAGGTGGGGGAGCAGAGGGAGGACTGCCCACAACAGCTCCTGGGGCCAGGCAGGCACTTCCCCAAATAGCTCAGGGGCCAACAGTCGCTTTGCCAGGGCCTCCTTCTGTTCAGGCTTCATTCCTGAGCTGTGATCTCGGATGGCAGCCAGGCTGAAGAGAGTAATGGGTCTTAACCCTTTGCCTTATTCCAGTTGTTCTTCCCTGACTCTCTGCTGTCATGGCCAGAAAGGAGATTCTTCCTGGTTTGATAGAGAGGAACTCTGGAAGGGGCTGCTGAAGGTGGATAGTTGTCCTGACTGACAGGAACCAGAGGAGTGGTGCTTACACACTGTCATTGGCCAACAGGGATGGTGGGAAGCGCATCAGGTCAGAGACAGCCAAGAAGGGGATGAGTGGTGACAGATCAATGAAGAGCTGGGAAGTGAGGCGTGGGTACCGCTGGAGGAGCAGGGCCATTAAGTGGCCCATGGCCTGCTCCTCAGTTGGTGGTACCTGTAGGGGCCCAGGAATGGTTGTGAGCTCTGGAGACACTCGGTATCCTTGCCACCTCCTCCCTGGAGTTCCTCCTCCCACGAAGGCAAGCACTCCAAATACTCAGTTCCAGGTGCCCTTGATCCCGAGATTCCCTTCCACCCTTGTTTCTCTCGCCCTCTATGCCCACCTGCAGCTGGGCCCAGGAACGGTGCATGAGGGTCAGGAAGCCCTGTGCAGCTTCTGTGTCTGCTGAAAGCACTAGGTGCTGCAGGTTCTCTGGGGGCATGTGTAGGTATGCCTGGGGACCGGAGGTCAGGGTGGACGTGACCTCACTGGGCAGAGACGTCAGCCCATGGCTGTCACCCAGCCCGCCCGTGTGACCCTCCACCTGTTACCTGTACTAGGATCTTCAGGGCCCAAACACTCTTCTCCCTCTGGAGTAGATCCCACAGCACAGGCTGGTAGGGGAGAAAGACAAGATGCCAGGAGAGCTGTTTCCCCCATCTTCCTGCAGCTTCCCGGGCACTGCAACTCAACTCGTGGGGATGCATCCTTCCCTGAAGCTAGCTAGTATGTGTGTCTCTGCGGATATGAAGCCCCTTTAGGTCAGGAACCATGTCTCTACCTACTCCTGTATCCTCTCCTATGCCAGGTCCACAGCGGGCTCAACAAATACTTTTAGACCTGAACCAAATTAATGTGAGTCTGGCTAATTCCATTTCAGTGAAGCCCGGGCTACAAAAAATGGGTCTTAACAAGGAATCTGTGTGTACCCTACAGAATCTAGCAAATGCCTTGACACTCAGCAAATGAGTTATGGTATTCAAAATACTTTAAGCTCCTTCACACTACAGAGAAGAAAAGTCCAGAAAAACTACTTACCTAAGTTCACACTAATTTATGGCATAGTTGAACTTAACCAAGGTCTTCTGATTTGTAGCCCCCCCGAATCACTTTCTTTGTTATTTCTACCTTACCTTCTGATATTCTGCCAGCCCTCTAGGGAGAGAATCTGAGCCCTCTAACTTGATCCCCTTCCTTTCTGGAGCAGAAAGGGGGACAATCTAAGAGTGCAAAAGAATAATAAGATGACTTATTTCATGTTTATCATGCCCTGGATTAAGCCCACAGTATATGTTATCTCATGTAATTCTTAACCACCACCTTACTAATTGGTACTATTGTTACCCCCACTTTATAGCTAAGAAGAAAAAAATATACTGCCCATAGAGGCTAAATAACTTGTATAAGACCAGTCACAGAGCTAAGATGTGAACCCAAGTTTGTCAGACCCTAGAGCTGAGTGCTTACATGACTGTAAAAACGATACCCCTGTCTCTTGGTGTTGAAAGAGTTCCTCTGCAAGCCCCTTCCCTGTTCCAAGGACTTTTCCCCAGGCAAATCACTCACACTGAAGCAGGACAGGAGCTCCATCTTGCTCATACCAGAGCTGAGGCTGACAGTGGGTTCAAAGCCTGCTAGGGTTGGCTCTTCTTGCTCCAGGAACTCCCCGACTGTCCGTAGCACACTGCGCCGGCCTTCTGGGCGGAAGGCGTCCCAGAAGGAGCAGTTGTCGGGGAGACTGGAGAGCAGCAGGGCCTGACCCAGCGTCCCCTGGGCCTCAGCCCCTCCAGCCCCTGGGCCCAGAAGGAAGCTCAGCAGGCGCAGGAAATAGTGCAAGCGTGTGGTGTGGGCAAGGGCTGGCACTGAGGACTGGCAGCGTGGCACCTGGGACAACATACCCAGCAGGAAGGGGGCAGGGGCCAGGCACAGTGGAGATGGCCCAAGAGGTGGCAGGGAAGGCAGAAGGGGGGCCAGAAGCCCTTCTAGAAAGCAAGTGTCATTGCCCGCACGACTTACCCTGCACTGGCCTGCTAACCAAGGCCAGAAGGGCACCAGGGCCTCATACATGGTATCATTGGCACAGACCATCAGCAGGAAGCTGCCCCCGTCTGGGCAGTGTTCCCCACAGGGTCCAATATGGCAGGGTGGGAAGGCAGTGGCATCTGGCGTGGGCCCCTGGCACACATGCTGAACCCATGCCTGATTGCTAGGGGGCACAGCCTGCAGACTTGCCTCTACACACAGCCGTTCAGCCCACAGAGTCTCGTTCTCCAAGAAGCATCCCCAGAAGATCTCTGGGGTGAGAGGCACAGGGGCCAGGCCATCGGGGCAGCTGGTAGGGGGTGGGAGAAGGCCAGCACAGAGCCGCTTTACCAGACGACGATTGGGGCCAGACAGGGCTGAAAAGGAGAGGTTGCTACAGATTGCATCCAGGAATTGAGCAGGAAACTGGTCATGGCAAGCCTGCAGCCAGCGTTGGGCACCTGGTACCCATGAGACTGCATACCATACAGCAGTGTGGCAGATGGCAGCAGTGCTAGGAGGGGGTTGTGGGGTGGCAGGCTTGGCATGCTGGCAGAGCAAATGGATGGAGAAGTTAGAGATGCTGTAGGGTGGTGCTGGGCCTGGGTGGTTTTCACAGAGGGCCTCCACAGAGATAGCTCGTCGTTGGCGAGGCCTAATGTGGGCTGAGGGCTGGGAAGTCCTGGGCAAAGGCACACCAGTGCTCAGGCAGTGGAGGAGAGCAGGAGGTGGGGGTGGCGATCCAGACAGAAAGCCCAGTGCCTGCACATCCCAGGAAAGATTATGCCGGATGCCCCTGGGAGGAACAAACAGGATCTGGTCAGGTCATGCTTCCTCCAGCTAAAGATTCTGACCCTGGCTAAGAGCCCTCCAGGGCATGTGGCAAGCACAGGCTTTTCCAAGTGAAGCCCCTGAGAGTGTAGGTGTTACTGGTGTAACTGCTGAGGTGGGATAAGGAGGAGAGAGGTCTGTGCTGCCGAGGCTCAAAACTGCCTAGGAGCAGCCCCAGTTGGAGTCCTGGCTGCCCCTGTCTGTCCACCTGGCTGCTTCATTTCTCTCCCTTTTTTCCCCATCTGGTTTTAGATAGCTTAAACACAACCCTTATTTGGCCTCATATTGGGAAATCTGCCTGGCAATTGAATATGTCTGTGCTCTAGCATTGTTGTACTGAATTAGTAAGAGGGTGGAGGAATCCAATCTTGTTCTTTTTTTCCCCATACTCTATGTTTTATTGGCTAACATCTGTTAAGCACTATATGGCAGGCTCTGTTCTAAGGAGTTTATTCATCTAGTATCTACTCATTTAATCCCTTACAACTCTACAGTCATTAATATTATCATCCTATTTCACAAATGAGGAAACTGGGACATGGAATGTGGAACATGTCTAAGCCCACATGACTAGGAAGAGGAGGAGCCGGGAAACCAACCCAGTCACACTCCAAAACCCCCAAACCACACTCCTCTCATCAGTTTTCTCCTCAGCTCTGGAGGCTAAAGCCTTCAGCATCCCACCACCTCCAGATTTATCGGCCCAAATTCTTGGAATTGGTCTCTTGCTACTTACCATAAGAGCAGCTGTTGAAGGTTACCTAAGAGGAAAAGAGCAAGGAAGAGAAGTACCCCAGTCTCACTCTTCTTGGCCTGCCACTTCTCAGCCCCAACCCCAGATCACTCACCTCCATGGCACTGCCCATTGGCATCAGGCTCTGGCTGGCCCATAATGGAAAAGACCTCATCCTGCAGGGAGTGTGTGACACGGAGCAGCCCCTCCTGGAAGGCAGTATAGAGGGGGGCCCCCACTGTGCGTAGCAGACCACCCCAAAGAGCATCCTCAGAGCCCAGCTCCCCTGGTGGGGTAAGCAAGCCCAACAGACCCTGCAGAAGGTGAGGTGCTGGCTCCCTCCCCTCAAAACCTGTGGCATTGGTGGGGTCCATGCTGGGCTGCACCTGCACCAGGGCCTGCCAGCGGGTGCCCTCTAACAGCAGCAGCAGAGAAGGCAACCAGTCAGCAGCTAGGACACAGTCAGAAGGCCCATCACGGGTACACAGCGGCCTTGTAGGGGAAGGAGGCTCCCCAGGAACTAAAGCTCCCAGCAGTACCTCCACAAGTCCTCCCAGAACACCTGCCTGGTGTACCAGGAAGTCCCGCGGAGTTTGCTCCTGTCCCAGTAGTGCCAGCACATCCCCCAGTAGCCCAAGCATTGGCTCCCAGTCTAGACTACCTCTCAGTGTCACTAAGAAATCATGGAGACGAAGGGCAGGGGGCTGGAGAGGTGGGGGCTCTCCCACTGGTCCCTCCCCCATTCTCCCATCCTCAAAAGAAGAAGAAATGTTGGCCAGGAATGCAGAGAACCGTGAGCGGCTGAAGGAACCCTGGGGAGCCTGGTCCAGAGTGGAGAGGAATGACTTCAGGAGGGAGAGATCAGGGTCCAGGGACTGAGGCCCAGTAGTGGCCAGAGTCACTGTAAGGAGAGAAACCCAGAGATCATTGAAGGGGAAGAACCTAGAGCCCAAAGACAGACCGGCTCCTAAGCACAATTCCTTCCCTGGATCTAAAGGGGATGGCAGGGGAGGGTGAGCCAAGCCCTTTTCTCCAGCCTGCAGTAAGTCGTGGCCTGCTTTCTTAAGCCTCACTCTCACTTGCAGCATCAGTCTCTGCCCCTCTTCCTGCCCTTTAGCTTTTGTCTAACTGTTTAACCTCCACATTCTTAGGTCTCTTGTCCAGCAGCCCTCCCCTTCAACCCCACCCCTGTTCAGTGTTCCTCTCACCTGTGAAGGACAGCAGCAGCAGAAGGGCCCAGAGGCTCAGAGCCATGTTCCTGGGGCAGCACTGGTACTAGAAGTGGATTCTAGTTATTCTCACCTCCCGTGGAACAGCCAGGTGAAGACAGGGCACTGTAGGCAGCTTGAGGCTCCACTGACACTGTAGTGTGGTCTTTCAGGAAATAATATCTGTAACCTGACAGCAGGTTTGTCACCTGAGCCACTGAATACTTGATCCTTTGGCTCTGGAGAATGATGTGCTTCTGAGAGAAGGACAAATGATAGGGAACTGGGGATGGGAGGGGCAGTTGGAGGGGCCAAAACAGATAGCTTGAGTTAGGATCTTGAGTTGCAAAAAGAAGTAGGCAGATGGGAGTGTGGAGAATTGGAGACCAGGAGTGTCACCCATCGTGTGACTGTTAATTATGGTATGTCAACTTGAATGGATAAAGAAAAACCTAGCAGATTAGTGAAGCACATTTCCATATGTGTCTGTGGATGACTGATATGTAGGCCAGCAAACCAAGGGGGTAAGATTCATCCCAGATGAGGCTGGCACCAACCAATAGGCTTATATCCTGAGATAAAAGGGAAAAGAAGGAACTGTCCACATTTTAGAAGAGCTCTCCTGCCTCTGGTCCCACAGACAGCTACTGTGGACTCTCCTCCCTCAGATTCTGTAAGTCTATCTAATAAATCCCCTTGAATTTTATACATATATTTTCCATTGATCCTGTTCCTCTAGAGAACCGTAACTAATACAGATTTTGGTACCAGGAGAGGTTCTAGAGAATTAGTATTGTAAGGATAAATTTCTCTAATCAGTATAGCGGTTCTTACCTAGAGTTGTCTCTCTAATTTGATGAGGCCTAAAATTGCCATGGTTTCTTCTTCTGGTGTATACAGAGTACTGATAGTTTGTTGTGTGAACTATCTAAATATACTACATAGATCCATTTGATTTCCTAAATTGCCACTTGTGAAGTACAAGGAATTTAGTGATACTTTTAAACATTTTTGGAAAAGTGGGAAATATAATGCTGGATTGCAGCACTCAGCATCTCTGGAAAAACTACTAAAGGAAAACAGTCAGCTCCAGCCATGAATGAACAATCTAAAGGCTTCAAAGTATGTTCTGAAGGAGAATCTTCTCTCCTTTAGCCATAGGGCTGAAGTTGTTGAAAACCAATGATAAGCCCTCATAATTCAGCTGGATGAATTACAGTGAAAGTTTAACTCAGCCATGAAGGGTATCTGCAATGAAAGTGAAGGTACTGCTCGGAAAAGAATGGGATCATGGAGCGCCAAGGAGCAGAGCCCCCCCACCCCCACCCCATGCCAAGCCATTACCTGGATCCACACCGCAGAGTTGCAGGGGTCATAAAGGACATTGTTCTGAGCTACAGAATATAGAGCAGAAGTGAACAACAAAAGGAGGGCCTCTCTGAGGCTCCTTCATGAAAATTGAAGCCCACTGGAAAAGTGAAGAAAATCTCTGCAATAAAGGCACACCAGACCACCTTAGTTGGGGGAGCAGCAGTGTGGATCAGAGCGGCGCAGCTTCAAGCAGATCCCAGCTAGGGCTCCACCCCGACCCCAGAGCTCAGGGACACCAGCCCAAGCCAAGTGCCTGCCTAGAAGAGAGCTGCACAGGTGCACAAGCAACAGCCAGAGGTTTACCCCAATACAATCAGTAAGTGCATAAGACCCTAGCAAAAGCTTGCCCACACAACAGGAACTGGGGTCATAGACCTAGCCAAAGGCCCTCCCAGACAACAGGTACATAAGGGCCCTAGCCAGAGACACAACTAGATACCATCCCAAGTGTGCACAGGCCCCAGCCAGAAGCCTGCCCAGACAACAGGTCAGCTCAGGGATCCAGAAGGGGACCATTCTGAACCCAGGAATTGGTATACTGGTGAGGAGCAGAGAAAAGGCTGCTCGGTGGCTTGCTGAGAATTGAAGACCACTGGGTGAACAAAAAGTTGCCTCAACAAAGGCACAACAGGTTGCATCTGTTGAAATGAGAAGACACATAAACAAGTCTCAAAACCAGACTTCCAGATCACCTATAGCAACCCAAAAGGGAAACAAGATGGAACACTCTGACACTCAACCACCTGGACTCCCTGAACTGGCAACAAAAGAGGATCTGGAAAAAATGAAAAATCAGAAATAATTTCTCAGATAATAGCAGATAATGTTCCCATAGTGCAAGACATGATTAATCAATCTAGAGAGGACACAGATTAAAAAATAGAGGATCTGAGGAACATGATGGAATCTCAACATAGGAAACAAATGGAATCCATAAAGCAGATGCAAAGAGATTTGCAGGACATTAAAAACTCCATTGAAACTTTATGCAGCAGAATGA